AAAAAAAAAAGGATATTCATAGCTTTCAGTGACGTCACCAGCGTGGAGGACTGGAGGGCAAAAAATGTTCAGGAGAGTAACGTCTACCGGTGAAAACCCTGTAGATCTGCAGCAGGAGCTTTTAATTTAACATCTCCTATAAACGACACAAGTTTACATCTCCTGACAACCATGTCAAAACTAAGATATTAAGATAAACTTTGAGTTTGGGGCACTTGTGATACTTTAAACAGCACACAGGACACTATTTATATCACTAGAAACGGCCAAGTCCGTGCCGGTGTTACAGTTAAAAGAGTTACCATGTTAACTGGTGACTGTCAGCCGACTGAGTCTGGTTGTCGTACGTTACGTGTCCTCAACGAAAGCCTATTTGTTTAGCTTTCATTAAAACATATCTCATAAGTAATTTTGACATTATGATAATACAAAAACGGAACAAAGAGGCATTTGTTAGGACACGTTTGTCTGAAAGTCATCAGTTAACATGGTCACTCTTTTAACCGTTAACACCAGAACGTCACTTCAGTGATGATATTTAGAGGAGAATCCTTCTCCTTACACCGCTGTAGGATGAAAGTCTACAAACATACAAGCAGCTTTATGTATTATTGATCGGTCTGGGTCGATAATTCTGCTGTTTGAGAAGTGAAGGGAAAGAAATTCCTCATCATTCAAGCATCGGTGAGTGCTAATTAGCTAACATTAGCTAGTTAGAGTTAGCTAGCGGTAGTATCAGCTGTCAATCTTAGTGTTCTGGGGCAGTCATTTGAGTTAACAGTTAACGGCAGGAATATTTAGAATTAGTCAACACTATAAGTGATGTCAGGATGAGGAGATGTGTGATGTTTTCCCTCACAGGGGCCTCAGAGGGTCTAACTGCATTAATCCATAAACGTCCTCCTTTCTGTTTTTATTCTCGGATTAAATTCTGTAGAAGCAAAACTCGGCTCGTCTCCTCGTCGGTTAGTGTCTCACATTAAACAACACTTGTATTTAATCTGAAAAAATAATAAAAATAAAACAGATAAAAACACATAGGGGGTCACTGAGACCAGTAACTTTTCAGTAGCGTAAAGAGGGTCTCTTCTTGCCCTCCAGGTGGGCGGTTCAGTAAGAGTGTGACGTTGCGTGAAAGCTATGAATATGCAATGCATATTAAATAAATGAATGGCTCGAAATCATGGTATGATTATGTTAAGACGAAAACCAAAAATGTTCTGGTGTTTGGAAAATGAAAACTAATATTGGTGGCTCATTTTCATAATTGATACATGCAAGAGTTTTCTCCCAAAACCCAGGATACACAGAAAATACTCTGAATCCTGTATGAATGTAGGAGTAATTGTAAGAATTTCAGATTCTTAAAATTGTAACTCTTTTAATTTTTAAAACGTTTTTTCTGGTATCATTTGAGAATGAAAATGGATGCACAGAAGTGAATACATGATTTTGGGAGGTCTTGGCATGTTACAATACTAAAAACCTTACATTAACTTAATTGGTAGAGTGGCAATGTTTATGGCAATATCTGTATTTATATGTAAATGATGGTAGAATTAAGGCTGACATGAACTGACAAACATAGCTGTTTGTTGAAACACATACTGTGCTAACATGCAGTGTTGGGAAATGTTACTTTGAAAAGTAACTTGTCACAATACAGGTTACTGCAGTTATAAAGTTTATAATAATTACTGTTATATTACTGCGTTACCCACTGAGAAAAGCAAAGTTAAATTGTCCAGGCAGCTCGTACTGTACTCTACTGTCATTGCATGGCCTCTCTTACAGTCACACTGCAGCCCAATAACAGGAATGACAGAAGTATAATAGCATATAACAAAAGTCAAATAATGGGAGTATTTATTGCAAAGTAGAAGCTGCCCAGCTTACTTCCTGAATTAGCTGGATTCTCATGCGAGCTGACACATCTGAAAGCTGACCTCTTCTGCTCATGAGCAGCTGCCTGTACAGAGGAAGGGTAACAGAAACTGCAGATGCTTCAGGGATTTCTTTTTTTTTCTTTTGAGGCAACACAAGGAAGAGGGAAATTAAACATTTTTTGCGTAACGGAATACTTTCATGAAAAAGTAACTATTAATGGATAACTTGATTTGTGGAACTTACATGTTACGTTACATGTCACTACACGTTTGGACCCCCTTGGAAACGTGATGGTACATCTCAAGGGGCTTATCCTATTAAAATAAAATGTAAAAAATACAAAAAGTAATCTGAGTACTCTAGCAGATTACTTCCCCATGACTGGTTACATACAGATGAAATATAATGTTTCCCTGCAGAACCCATAAATTCTAAGTATCGAAGACTAAAATGTACACAAATTTATCGAGAAGCTAATTTAACCTATTTCATTTTATGCATGTGATAAACCTGCAGTCGGGAAACTAATATCTTTAGGAAGCTTTACAATATTATAACTTAATTAGGCTTTAAGCATAAACAATGTGTTTGTGTGTTTAAGAAACTGGAAAAACAGGGAAGCTATTTTTTTTAACTATTTATTAACTATTACTGCCTCTTTCCTGCTGGTAATTTGATGTAAAGAAGAAGTTGGGAAAGCCTTACAACTTTAAGCTCTCAAAGTGAAGGCCTTTAGCTTCTCTCCATGGCTTATCACTTGACATTTAATTCACTGCACATTTGTCACATGGCAGGAGGCCAGAATTAACCAAGATTGTTTGGTTTCCAGCATGATAAAATGTATTTTGAGCTCAACAATATTTTGCCATTTTCAAACAAAGAGAACAGCCAGCAGAATGTCAATGCATGCATCACTTCTTAATTTCTTGATTTACTTTCCTTTTTTCATCTCAGAACAGTAGGGTAATGGAGAAAATTGCCTTTATAGATTTATGGGCTCTTTAAGATGAATGTGTTAAAGGTTCCATTTACATTTTAAATGGAAACACTGCCTCTCCTGTCCCTTGATCAACTGAGAGTCAAAATAAACACAAATGCACTAAAGATGTCACAGTAGTGAACGTTTTATGGAGCCCTGGCATGCATCCACTCACTTCTGCCAGTACACCTCCCTGCCTCTAGTTTAATGTTTGCAGAGATCCTGGTCAACATTACTGATTCTTTGTATTCAAGTTTTTCCAGAATATATCATGTATTTTTTTTTAAGTTGCTTGTGTTTCTACCACACTTTCAATTATTATTCTCGAATAACCTGCAATCAAAAGTAAAACATGATAAATATCTATTACTTTGTGTTTTAACACCACAGTTAGGCCTTCATAAGAACCATATAGACATGTAAGTAATGGATTGTAACACTGTATTGCACAGAGCTTTAATTGTCTTTTGAATCTGGTAGTCTTCAACAGTTTCTCCTGTAATTAATCATGTATTACTTGTGTATATGTGTTACAGGATTATATACATTTAGAAATGTATAAATGACAACCTATTATAGTTAGTGTAAGTGAATAAATAAATACTCTACTCTGTATGTCTTTATGTGCCCTAATGTAATATCATTTTGTGTAGTAAAAGCTATTTGTTAGTGTGCAATCAAGCATTCAGTAGCTATTGATTCATCAGACATGGATGCATGAAAATGCATTAAAAACACAACTTGTATATAATGTGTTTATCTGTTTGATGGCTTTCTGCTATGATAAAAAGTAATAATTCAAGTGTGTCTCTACTGTCGTTCATTACTGTTTCTAGTGTTATGTAACACTTTTCTTCAAATGTTTGCACATTCAAAAAAATCTTGTGTGTAGCAAAGTAATTTTATAGTCATGTTAGCTTCTGAAAGAATCATATCTGATCATAAGGGTATGAAAAAAAAATGTAGACATCTTCCTTTCTGTACTTAAACCAGTGAGGCTCGAACAATCAAAACATAGCATTAGCAATGTAAGTTTTTGAGTCAACAATAGAAAAATATCTGCTCGTCAATAAATTGTTGTTTGCTTAACATTTCTGAACAAAACTGTAACGTTGTAATCTAAAATAACAAATATAGAAGTTCTTACTTTCGTAAGAGCAAATCATATAAGCACACCGTACAGAAAGTATGCAAGTTTGGTGAACTAAGGTTGTGTGTGTATTTGCAAGTTAGATGAGCAGCACAGGGATAAATTGTCTGTGGACGGACCGAGGAGTGAGAAGATACTGAACAAAACAGCTGTCTCTTTTTTCAGTCAGGAGTGAGATCTGACACCCCAGCACATTGGGGCAAATGTACTGTAAGTGTGTTTGTGTGTGTATATTTGTGTTTGTGTGTGTACATCGGTGTGCACTCACTCACATGTATTTCATGAGAGCCAATAAGAGAATAAATATGTTAATAAGCTATCAATGTATAAATTGCTACACACACTGGCCACTGTAAACAGTATGCTGAGGAGCTACAGTGGTCCTCTATAACACCACTGAAGTGTGTCAGAGAGTTCAGATGTCTGACATGTCCTGTGTTACATATATGATACCGATACACACACACACACCCACCCACCCACACACACACACACACACACACACACACCCACACACACACACACACACACACACACACACACTCACACACACACATTGAAACATACACTCACACATATTGCTTTGCTGTAGGAAACCGATTATAACATTTTTTTTGAATAGGCCCATCTGCCCCAGTGATCTCATGTATCATGATTGGAACACTATCTTTCTGTGTTGATTAACATGTGCATGGTGCAAACCATTGTTTCTTTAGATGGCAACATTTTCATACATCCAGTAGCCCACAGACACAGTCATCCTTTCCATAAATACAACAGACTATACGCAACGTCTCACCAAAACACTACCGGCTGAAATCTAAGCCTTCACGATGCAGCTACATGTAGGACAGCATCGTTTCACACACATGCATCTGCAATCCCTCCATTGGTTATTTCATTTGGTGATTAAACACCAAGCTGCAAGACGCTGCCTGAAAATGCACGGAAATCTCCCTCAAATGCACATAAACATAAACTTACCCGCTGTGACTCGAGAGACGCAGAGACAGCTGATGACGAGCAGGACAAATCTCTCCATCTTTCTAACGCTCGGTCGACGTGCGGTCCCATTTACTCTTGATGGGGGTTATGTGTAGAAAGGCGAACTGTTGTGCGGTGCTGTGCTGCTCGGCATTCACGTCAGTTCATATGTCTCGTCTCGCCTGGAAAAGGGACAACGGCGCGTCTGTCTGTGGCTTTTCAGCACCTTGGACAGCACCTCTGTTCATTCCAGCCCCTTAATTATTCCCAAGTCACCTGCCGCCAGTAAATCGTCGTTCTGAGTGGTCGGTCCGTGCTCCAAAAATTGTTAAGAAAAGAAAAGAAAAAAGAAAAAGAAAACATCCTCCCCGATCTGTTACTGCTGCCGATGAAGCTGGATGTGGTGTTCAGCACCACTCGGCTACTGCAGACGAATAGAAACGTGCTGGCTTTGTGCATTAGAGCCTGAACGGTCCCTGCCCACAACACTGACTCCTGATGACTCTGTGAGAGGGAGGTTGCAAAACATCGAACATCACCTTGTTTAAAAAAATAGGCTACATTAATTGTAAGTCATTTCAATTCGAAAATATAAAATTGAGATTGTGTTATTTATTTACATGCCTATCCTGCTCACATATATATATATTATAGCCTAGTCCACACGCACAAACCATAAAAACCTAACCGTGAAATATTTCATAAGCAGACTTCTGTAAGGCCTTAGATACAGCGCTGCTGTTGTCTGTCCCTCGTTCTCCTGCTTCTCTTGCTCTTTCGATGAGCCAGTACTCTGAATTATTGCTGCCCACTCCTCGATTAAATATGCATACAGTGGCCCACGCAAACAGCCGCCTGTGCAAAGATAAAGTCTTTAAACACGTGCTTCTTGAAACCCCCCCCCCAACATTTTTCTCCGAGATCACACTTTGAAACAGTAAAAGTAAAGTAGATACAAGTCTTCATCATACAGTAGGGCTGAAGACTGAAAACAAGCTGTGTGGATAGCCGTGTAGGCAACTGTGTGTGTGTGTGTGTGTGTGTGTGTGTGTGTGGGTGGGGGGCGACGACAATCCAGCCCTGTCGCTTAATCATGTCTCCAAGAAGTGTGTTTATGGTGGTCATTACCGTTTTGCATGTTACCCTGACTTTTCATCATATAGATCATATGGATAGTCTTTGTTTAGCTATAGAGCCATGACATAAATTGAGAGATGTTAGCACAATAATTTATCTGAATTGTACATGTATAGTGAAGGGGGAAATAGGCTGCTGAGGAAGTTTCTAGTACTTAAATAGAGTAGGGTACACTACCCTTAGCTATGTTTATTAAAGTCCTAAAGAAAAATACCTTGAAAAAGGTGAAAATATCCATGTAATGACTTCCAATCAGGAAAGAGTTTGAGTTAGTAATTTCAAGCTCCATCCGAAAGGCAACTGGACTTGGTTTACGGTTGCCAGCCAGTTGCTGGATCAAGCTTCATATCACCTGAACGACTGAGAACATACACAAACAACATGAGCAGTAATTGTATACTCCAGTAAGGATTGTCAAGCAGAGGAGTGAATAGCAAACAAATGCAAACCACCACAATGTGTAATAATGTAAGGTGGAGATTTTGAGAGCACAGTCTGACACTATGCTGGGCATGAAGAATCCATCGGGTTCATTGTTAAATTGTAGTACAAGAAGTTGACAAACTATTTTTATCATAGAGTGAAATAATTTGAACAATTTAATGGAGTGTCACATACTAACTTTAATTTATAGAAAAGGGTCCACACACAGAATGTAAATACTTTTATTGTTCCACATATTCAAAATTGAAATCTTATGACTCTCAATTTTCAAATCTCCCTGAGGTAAGATGAGTAATGTGTTACGGATCGTGAAAACGAAGAGGAGGACCCAGATGCAGGATTCACTAAAACTATTTATTCTTTAACCAAAAGGCAAACAAAAACTTACTTCCAAAAAAATCCCAACTACAAGAGAAGGCGCCACGGGTAAACTGACATGCAACAAATGACACCGACAAACACATACAATGAACTGACACAGAAGGGGCGAAACACAGAGACTAAATAGACATGGGGTAATCAAACACAGGTGAGACTAATAACACAGATGAAGACAATGAGGGCAATCACAATGGAGGGAAACACACAGAGGCAGGATTAACCACAAGAAACACTGAAGACACACAGAACTCAAGAATGAACAAAACCCACTAGAACATAGAGAAACACTAAACACTGAAAATACAAAACTAAATAATACCAAATCATGACATAATGATACTATTTATGATGGTAGAAAGCAGCAGTGGGGTCTGTTTGATGGTAACCAATGCAAGCCAACAATGCACGGTAATCTTGAGCAAAAAAGTGTCCTGCTCACTTTTCCGAGAATACCTTTTCCTCCTTCTTCACATCTTTTCTCTGTTATAATCATCCAGTCATAATCTTGGTTCCCTGGCCTTCTTTTTTGAGTATGATTATTTTCCTTTTGAATATGGTTATTGGAGAACTGTAAAAATATAGCATTCTTAGATTAGGAAGTGTTACATGCTATACACTTTCTGAATATAAACCCTGATAACACCCTGGCCTTGCTTATGGAAAATCCATTCCATGTTAACCTCATGACAAATAAATGTGTTCCTACTTCGGAAATGCATTAAGCCTATAGATATGATTTCTTATCCGAGTGGTGTCGAAAATATGATGCAGAATAGAGAATCCCCTATTGATATAAGGTAATTGAGTTCATTTATTTTAAACTCAGTTAGCAAAGACAGCCCATGTTTTATCAACAGAATTTCCATACCAAGGCATGCTCTCATGAACCTCTCAAATGTCTGGGCCAACAGAGTGTTAATGGTTTTTATATTCAGCACTCTGCAAACACATAAAGGACTCAGCCCAAGCAAGTCATTTGATTCTAATAATTGGCCCCACTGATACTTTGCTGTCTTCTACGTAAAATGCAGATCAAGCAGAAAATCAGCAATAAATCTGATGTCTTTATGGATAGCTCATCTTTGTTTCTGTTGGCTTCAGTGGATGGAGTTTTTATTTATCACAGTGTCCAAATGTGTATTAGTGTTTTGTGCACGGCAAAGGGAAAATTATTTATTTGGTCCCTGTAATCACATCTCAAAAGGGAAATTTGGGGGGCAATGTGATGGAGCATTGGCCTCAATCTACAAAGGTTAGGTAACACTTACTTTAGGAGGCTCTGACTGTGCTCACTTTGGCCCCCCAGCACATAGGAAAGTGATCTGAATGCATAGATGGCCATAACCTTGGATGAATGAGAGTAGTGTCTTATCATATAGGGATGGTTTTACTTATCTTTCATTTGTAAATAAGGTTAACTCTCCTCAGGTGAAGGACTTTATATAGTTGTATACAGTATATAACCTAGTTTTTTCACATTGCAGTGATATAAGTTATCTTAAATGATCATTAGAAGAGCAGAAAAAAAGAGCATCAGTGGAAGTTCCAGCACTGGACTCTCTGAGTCATAGCCCAAGAGGTAAAATCTCTCACTTTCTGGGCAGTAGGTGTCATGATATTCTTCTTTGAACAAGAACTGATTATCAAACTTCCTAACAAAAATCTGCATTTCCAATCCCCTCCTAGTGTTCAGCAAAGCTATATCTAAAGCCACCTTTTCCATAAACTGAAAGTGTGAAAGATCTGAGATGAAACAAGAGCAACTGATTGAAATCCCAGACGCTTTCTTTTTCTGGTTCCAGCCACTGTAACCCTCGATATGCAATGTCATTGAGGTTCCAATGCTCTAAGAAAGCACAAAGGAAAACTACTGTAACTGCTTGAAACAGAAAAAATGCCTTTACCATCCTCGTCTGTGATAAATATTTTTTAACCCTATACTGTAGAATGCTTCACATTATGACATTTTATTTGTGTATTTGCGCAGCTTCACCAAAGAGAAGAAAAATGTACGTTACAGGTCTCAAACTGAGATCCCATATGCAGATAAGATTGCTGTAACAGAAGAAAAGAATGAGCTGTGCTTCTTTTCAGTTCAGCTTCACTCCGTAGAATGAGGAAGAAACAAGAGTCCCGTAACAAAGAGAGTCCATTCATGGGAGAAGCTCTGCTAAATAATCCTAAATGCTACCGGTGTTTAACAACATAAACACACATTTATTCTGTTCTAAAACTGAGCTAGAGTTTACTTTTACTATAAAACTACTTAAGGATAATATTTACCTCACCTGTAGAATTTCCCGGGCTATTAAAAGTTCCCTTAATGTGACATTACTCACAGGTGTAAATAAAGAGAGACTAGCACGTTGCTCCTTATAACATTGAAAACGTACACATATGACAATAACAACACCATCCATAACCTGCAGAACACTTCTTCACATTGTTAATATATCTGATCCAAAATGAGATGTGCAGGAGCTAATTTAAAACAACAAAAAAGACGCAACGATCGCCGGCGCCATCTTGGCCCGCACGCGGTAACATTAGCATCGTCTTTACTTGTTCACAAACACATTATGTTCAACTACCTTTACCAATGCCATGTTGCTTGTTTCCTTTGTGTTTTCCATTATTTATTTACAATTATACATGTGTTTTAACCATACAAACCTGCATAAACAGGAGAAAAGAATGAGCTGTGCTTCTTTTCAGTTCACCTTCACTCGGTAGAATGAGGAAGAAACGAGAGTCCTGTAACAAAGAGAGTCCATGCATGGGAGAAGCCCAGTGCCACACTGCCTCCTGCTGGTGACACTGAAGTGTACTGGTTATCTGGCCATTATAGCACATATTAGTGAGGATCTTTCCTTGTAATATTATTTCCAAACTAAAACTATAAACACATTACATTAAATGTGACTACATATTTTGTGGGCGTCACTTACGAAAGTGCACATTTGAAAAGTGTCTCACTCAGGGATGCCGATAATGAGACATTTTGAGCTACTGTTAAAGGAACAATTAAATATATGTATTAAAAGAAACTCACTTAGGGCAGTTCATACAGTAAAACCTTTTTTTGTTTGTACCATGAGCACAAACGTGGGTTTCCAGTAAAACTTAAGTGTCCGGATTTGGAGGTTTGGTCACCCTACATTAACCCCACCTTCCATATTCCCCTGTTTGCAAACAGTGCATTGCTAACATACTTTATCAATGCTAACAAGTTGTTTCTCTCCATAAATATGGAGACTTTAATTTGACCCCAAACCTACATGTTTGATAGTACAGTTGGATTTCCCATCAGGGAGCGTAATGTTCTTGAAGGGTAATACAGCACTATTAGCTCTATAAGATAAGATGGTACCTGACCGTTAAGAGCTTTGTAAGCGAGAAGAAGGTTTTTAAATTCTATTCTAGATTTTATAAGGAGCCAGTGCAGAGAAGCCAATACAGGAGAAATGTGGCCCCTTTTCCTTGTCCTAGTCAGTACACATCTATGTCATTTTGCATGATGTTATTCTGTGTCCATGCCATTGATTCTGCATAATATTGAATAATCTTAAACTTTCCCAGTGATAAATTTAGTTTGATGTAGTCCCAGCCTTATCACATGAATATTTACCGCCTGAATGAGCCATGTGTTGCATTACGTAAACAAACCTCATCACTGAAGAGGAAGTAGTGTAGCCAATAAAAGAAAGTAGGGCCATCATATTATGTATTTTTACACTGTCAAAATAACTGTAGACAAGCTCATCCTAATAAGTACTTTAACCTCATG